TACATAAAAGTGATAAGAAACATTTATAGTAAAAGCACTGGCAAAGTAAAGTTGGAAACGATTGGCCAAAGCTTTCCTATTAAGAGAGGAGTAAGGCAAGGCGACCCGTTATCGCCAAATCTTTTTATAGCTGTACTGGAAACCATCATAAGAAAACTGGATTGGAATAAATGTGGTCTAAACATTAATGGCAGATACCTAAGCCATCTAAGATTCGCAGACGATATAGTGTTATTATCAGAAACTAGCTGTGGCCTGCAATACATGTTAGAGACCCTCAATGTAAGTAGCAGACAAGTGGGATTGGAGATGAACCTGTCAAAGACGAACCCTATGACAAATAACATCAAGAAGTGTATCAGGTTAGAAAATAGAGCGCTGGACTACGTGGATGAATATATCTATCTTGGAAAACAAATAAGTTTCAAAACGAACAGCAATGAAGTGGAGATACAGCGCAGAATAAAAATCGCGTGGAACAAATATTGGAGCCTAAAAGAAGTATTTAAAAGCAACATGTCGATAAAGCTCAAAACAAAAACTATGGACTCATGCATTCTGCCCTCTCTAACGTATGGTTGCCAGACGTGGAAACTTACGAAGAAAATTAAAAACAAAATTAGTTCATGCCAGAAAGGAATGGAACGTAGCATGTTGAACATAAAGAAAATACACAAAATACGACACTCGAAAATACGAAACTATACCAAAGCAATAGACGCGCTGGCTTACGCTCAAATACTAAAATTCAGATGGGCCGGTCATATAGCCCGATACGTGGACAACAGATGGACCATACATGTAACCACATGGAAGGGCCCGCCAGGCAAACGCCGAGCAGGGAGACCCTACATGAGATGGGAGGATGACATAAAGAAGATCGCAGGAACAAACTGGTTACAAATAGCAAAAAATAGAGAAAAATGGAAATCCTTGGAGGAGGCCTTTACCTGAGAGGGGTCCATGCTATTTATAATATTAATATCATTTTAGCATTAAATATTATTCTATTGATTTATTTAATTTAATATTTAATATTTATTTATTTAATGACAACCTTTTTACATAAGTTCATTGAATTGTATAAGAAGATTATAAATTTTAAATAAATAATTGTATGATAATAAAAATGAAAGATAGACATATAAGCAAAAATGAAATAAAAATTTAAAAAAAAAAATCTAAATGTGTTATGTTAATAGTAGTACTCTGAGCTAAATGTCATGTATTTTATTTTTGTTATTTTTATTTAATTTTTATATAAATAATTATGTCATCATTTGATCTAGGGAATCTGAATTGAATTATTGTATAATATTTCAAAGCTGAAAAATCATTGTAATGCATGGAATTAAAGGCTTTTTTATTTTATTTATTTTATTTTATTATCTTATTGTTAAGAGCTGGTGTTTCACATGTGGTCCCATATAAATTTGATCGAGGTCAGAGCAATAGTTTTTGAGTTATCCTTAATTATTTATATTAAAGTCGGTTGTACAAAATTTTTAATTTTTAATTATTATCGTAGTAAGTCTTGTATGATATCCCCTTTAAAATCATTACTCAAGAGTTGCGGGTTGTTATTTTTTGTGTCTCACTACCAATGCTTTTCTAATATTTATTAAAAAAAAAAAAGTAGTAAATTACTATTAGCGTCCTTTCAACTTCAAATGACCTTTCCAAAATATGTAAAATTGTTAAATGAATGGCAGTTTTTTTTTTATTATTTATTAGGTTGGAAAGACGCAAATAGTTATATGCGTCTTTCCTTCGATGTTTTTGTGATGCCAGGTGTATTTTTTAAGCTAAGATGAAAAGGAAAATTCGTTTTATTTAAATAAATAAACAAATTATCAAAAAATTTGTTCGTCCTTAAAATCTTCATGTCTCTACGTATATATTTCAATTTTCATATAGATACCTTTTAATATACTTTAGACACAGGGTCTGAAAGAAAAATTCATCAATTTATTTTTTATTTCCATTTTACGTTTTTGTTAGTTGCGTCCCTCTTTATGTAACCCGACGACGGCAGAATGTAACCCGGCCGGCTCGTGTCGCCTCACGCTGTGACGCAGTAGACAAAGAGTATAATAACTGTCCTAGCAGTAGGTTTCAGTTTTGTTGGGGTTCGTTATTAATTGTAGTTTTTGAAACAGTTCCGTGTTGATTTTGCACACGCGTGCGCGAGCGACAGCTCAATCGTATTGTTATTACTTGTGATTACGTGTTGGTATTATTCCTGTTGTTACGTTTTTTGTTTTAATAATGCTTAACGCGTACTTTTATAGTGATTGTGAATACAGCAACATGTTATCCGAACCCAGGTACACGAAGTATCGCCAAATAAATTGTTAAGACGTCGTGTGCGTGTGCCTGGTTCCATTGAGCACATTATCTGGACGGATGAGTCGACATTTACCAGAAACGGCCTGTGGAACCGAAGAAATACACACGTGTATTCAGAGGTTAACCCGCACGCTGTTCGACAAACCGGGCACCAAACCCGATGGTCGGTTAACGTATGGGCAGGTTTATTTAAAGATCGCATACTGGGACCAGTGTTTCTGCCACAGCGACTGAACAGACAGCGATACCATGTCGTGAGGTTCGTCCGTGAGCGCCTCAATGAGCTATTTGATGATCGCTGGATCGCCAGACTAGGACCACACGCTTGGCCACCTCGCTCACCAGATCTGACCCCGTTAGACTTCTTTTTGGTATGTGAAAGAAAGGGTTTTTAATCGTGAGTGTGATAGTGCTGACAAAATGCGCCAAAGGATCGTGGATGCTTTCGAAAAACTATGTACGGACTGTGTCGAAGACCACACGATGATGCCCCGCCTGCACCCAAATCTACCTTGAAATGAATGGAGCACAATTTGAGCTGCATCTCATAAGACCACGGAGGATTTAGAGCGGTAAGCTGTTTCATAACTATTTTTTTTAAATAACTTAGTACTGAACTAATCTGAATAGGTACATAACTGAATACATGAGAATAATAAACATACCTACACGATGAATAAAAACGCATGACTCCAACCTTGGTTACATTTCATTTAAGTATTTTTTCATTAGCGTATGTAGTGGTATGGCCCGCTAGTTGCGGGCCGCGCGAATTTGCGTTCGCGAGTACATTGACCTTTAGTCAGGTGATACAATTCAGTCATTCCACTGCTGGTTTTATGTTTCAGTATTTTCATGATATTTTTTATGAAATTATCGTTTCATTTAGCTGTACTAACATGATGGCGCGTGAATAAAGCTAATAAAACGTTGTTAAAAGATGATTTTTTTTTCATCAGGATCGAATTTATTTGTGACCCATGATCAAAGGTATACTTGGTGCTGTCGCCTGTCTTAGTTTTCGGGAGCGTTCCAAAAATACCCTGTATATATCGATGGGTTTAAACAAATTATAAGCATGCTTAGATGGAACGCATACAGGCTGTAACTTTAATGTTGTTCAACCTAATGTCTTGGAAAACAGGTTTCTTCCGGAGTAGTGAAGCTCATTGCTGGATATAGGTTTCTCCCGTACTCGGATATTTGCCTCAATATCCGAGTACTGGAGAATACTACTACTTTCGTCAATGGAAAGCTAAGCCTCTCATTGTAATTTTTTGTAATGGCGTGGCGGCATAAGACAATCCATTACCTCACATCATCCCGTGAGTGTGTTAAGAGACGGCAGAGGGAAATGAAACATAGAAATAGAGCAGGAAATGAGATATGCAGCAGTATCTTCTAGATAACAACTCAAAATAATAAACTGCGGTTACGAACCGCAAATGCTTAGTTGCGAGTGACAAATATCTACCTCATGAGGCAATGTATGGGTACCTATGTTTAGCAGTAGACTTCTGATAGGCTGTAATGATGATGATGATGATGAATAGAATTATTTTTATTTAATATAGATTAAAAGAATACTTATTAAAAGTCATTTAAGTTTTACCACTGGTTCGGAAAAAACCTCTGTCCTGGGAAGAACCAGCAAGAAACCCAGCGGGAGTTTTTTCGATGATGTATTGTATACTGACTAGGGTGGGCGTGGTGGTGCGGCATGAGGTGGTGCGCTTGGTGCTTGACGAGCGTGGCGATGGCGTCCGCGTGCGCCAGGCAGCGCGCCGCATGCGCCGCGCCCGCCTCCCACACGCGCGCCCCTCCGCTGCATCACACGCAATGTGCGAACGATACAAGCTATACACAGTTTTTTTTTATAGAATAGGGTGACAAACGAGTACACAATCTACCTGATGGTAAGTGGTTGCTGTGACCCATAGACATCTACATCTATCCTCAATAAAGACTCAAGATGCAGATGCGTTGTCACCCGTGAGTAATAAGATGGAATGCCTATTTGCCAGTAAAAACGGTCTCCGGTTCTCTACACTCCCATACGAAACACAGCAGCGTTAAGCTGCTATTTAACGCTGGTCTTCTGTGAGAGCCGACCCATTCGTGCTACAACTATACTACTAATATAGCTGCAGCATGGCTCTACCACGTGTAGATAACTGTGAAGCGGTGGTGTAAGAATATCCACTACCCCATATCGTCACGCGGGTGTCGTAAATGGCGACAGAAGGAAACTCAAACAGAAGATGAAACATGAAGATACTGCGGTTGCCAGCGCGCCTGCCAAGTGTGGCTGCTATGGAAAAATCACCCATATGAGGGAGCCCTATATTCAGTAGTGAACTTTTATAGGCTGTTTGGATGAATGGATTGAAGACAGTGCGAAAAAATTCCAAAGTATTTTTTATAAACCATGAAGTAACAAACGAACTTAGTCTGTTCAGATCACTGAACGACATTAAGGTGAGAGAAGCAGTCAAACCGGTCTGCTGGTAGCCGCGGATCGCATGGAGTGGAGCGGGGAGTGAGCTAACGAACTTTGCACCGACACTACACGCGGGCGCTCAAATAATATAATTTTTAATTTGCACATATTGTACCTTTTAATTCCAAATTATACCAGTTTTTTTTTTTTTGAAAATTACAGTCATTTCTTTAGTCCTACAACATTAAGGACGAAACATATTGTGGCGCCCGAACAGGGACATGAGCCAATCCAACCAACACAGTGCAGCCAATTTCAAATAAAGAAGGATACAGATGCGTTGTCATCTCTGAAATACCTCACAACCTCTAATTACCCTTCAAACGGGAACACTGCAGTGCAAGCACTGCTTGCTATTTGGCGGAAGGAATAAGTAACAGGGTTTACCTAGATTCCTAGGCAGAAAAAACTCTAAATACCTAAATCAATCATTAGTTCGAAAAGTGAGATCTCTATAGAGAAGAATCGACAAGAACTAAAGTCGACGTTTCTTTCGAATATCGTCAATTTTCTACTTGCATATATAGCCGGTGATTTGTTCATATCACGTCGGGGTCACCAATGTAGCCGGTGAAAGGAAAAAGGGGGATCTCCCGCCGGGCAAGGTGTTCTGCCCGGGGAGCGGCCAACGCTCCAAGTCGTAGTTCGGAGCTATTCTATATATACTGCTTTAATTTCGGAACTTTGTTAGCGCGATTTAGGCTTCGCTTTGTTTCGCTTACGGCGTGACGACAGCGCCGCCACACATAATAATCTAAATAATGTAAACAATTAATAATGTTTATTGTTTTTAAGCAATTGAGTCTTTGAGTTTTGCCGTTTTGTGACGGCGTAAGAAAAGCGTTATCGCAAGTGTTATTAGTTAGTGTTAGAACTTGGAAACTTTGGAAAACAAATCTACAGATATGGATCACGTCTAACATCAAGATTATTTTATTACATATTTCATTTTGTTTTGTTGTATAGGTCGCGAACTAGTTAAAACTCGTACTCACGATTTCTCTTGCGGTGTTCGCGAATACAGCTCCGCAGCAGCAAGTAGTAAAGACCGACGCGCGCGTACAAGGAGGCGCGCGTCTCCACCCTTTGTCAGCTCACGTGCAACTTCATCGCTTCGATCCAGCAAAAACCTGCAAAATCATACTTATTGAAAAAAAGGCAAAACTTATGTTTTAAAAAATAAAAATTATTCTTAATGGTAATTTCAATAATCTATACAAATAAATAAAATTGAAGTGTTTGTACTGGCAAAATTACAGTTTTTTACTAAATGCATATGAAAGTATATACGGTACTAATAACAAAAATACAATTTTTAAAGTTTTTGTCTGTCTGTCTGTCTGTTTGTTCCGGCTAATCTCCGAAATATCATATATATATATATATATATAATGCTATTCCGATGATATCTCGGACGTCAGTCTGAGCGAGATTAGAATGGCTCTCCAGCACATTAAAAACGGCAAGGCCCCAGTCGAAGATGGAATTACAACTGAGCTTCTGAAAGCGGGTGGAAAACCGGTACTTTAGTCCGGTACTAAGTCCTTCAGAGGCTCTTTAATTCCGTCCTCCATGGTGGCATTACACCAGAGGCGTGGAGCAGAAGTGCGGTGTTCTTGTTCTGCAAGAAAGGTGACAACGCTCTCTTGAAGAACTACAGACCGATTTCCTTTCTGAGCCGCGTCTACGTGCTGTTTTCGAGAGTCATTACGAATCATTGTACAGTAGGGCTACGATGGTTATCCGAGTACAGAACCAGAGTACGAAACCTATCCAATTGCATAGAGGTGTAAGACAGGGTGACGTTATATCCCCGAAACTCTTCACCACTGCATCGGAAGACGTTTTCAAGCTTCTGGACTGGAAAGGATACGGTATTAACATCAACGGCGAATACATCACTCATCTTTGATTTGCCGACGATATAGTCCTTATGGCAGAATCGCTGGAGGACCTAAGCACTATGCTCAATGACCTCAATAGTGTTTCCCAACGGATAGGTCTTAAGATGAACATGGACAAAACAAAAATCATGTTTAATGTTCATGTCACACCTATGCCGGTAGTTGTTGGGAGCACTAAGTTCGAAGTTGTTGACGAGTATGTTTACCTGAGATAAATAGTCCAACTAGGTAAGTCCAACTTCGACCAATAGGTCAATCGACGGATTCAACTCGGTTGGGCAGCGTTCGGGAAATTAGGGCACATCTTCTCGTCAGGTATATCTCAAAACCTGAAAACGAAATTGTACATCCAGTGCTTGTTGCCAGTGGTGATTTATGGATCTGAGACGTGGTCCTTCACTGCTGGCCGGATGAGGAAGCTCAAGGTCGCTCAGCGAGCTATGGAGAGGGCTATGCTCGGAGTTTCTCTGCGTGATAAACTTAGAAATGAGGATATCCACAGTAGAACCAGAGTGACCGACATAGCCCAACGGATTAGTAAGCTGAAGTGGCAATGGGCCGGCCATATAGCTCGAAGAACCGACAACCGATGGGGAAAAAAGTTTCTCGAGTGGCGGCCTCGTACCGGCGGACGAAGTGTAGGGCGTCCCCCCACTAGATGGAGTGACGACCTGGTAAGATATGCAGGAAGTCGATGGATGCAGGTGGCTCAGGACCGTGCTTTGTGGCATTCCTTGGAGGAGGCCTATGTTCAGCAGTGGACTTGTGAAGGGCTGTAATGATGATAATGATGAATCTCCGAAACGGGTGGACCGATTTTGACGGGATTTTCACTGGCAGATAGCTGATGCCACAAGGTAACTAAGGCTTTTATTTCAGAAAAAGAATTAGGGTTCCGCGCAAAAAAAATTAAAACCCAAAAAAAAAACACGCGGGCGAAGTCGCGTTGAACAGCTAGTTGTTAATATTACTAAAAATGTTATCACACCTCGGATAATCCAAATTTGTCGAATGCATCTTCATAATCGTAAGGCACAAGGTGACGTTTGGTGTGAATTCATAGCTAAATTCCGTTCGAACGGCTTCGTTCTTATTCGAATTTGTGGAGAGACACCAATCCATACACGTGATGCCGCTACCGCCCGAATCAGAGTTGCTGCTCATTATCAAATTGTCTTGCTCTGAGTTTGATCTTCTGGTCATTGTTTGTGTATAGCAATCGTCGCATACACGAAATTTTACACCACTGGGATATGTTGGGACCTGAAATAATTAATTAAATGAGGGCTAATAATATTCCGCTCACCAGATGTCACTAGTTGACACCAAGGTAAAGTTACACAATGCGAAGTTGGTTTTAAATAAAAATTTACCAGTTTCTGGAGTATTATATTAATACACAAAACAATGCCTCAGAGGTTTGCTCTTTAATTTTTTACACATATTTAACTATTTTTTAATTTTTCAACTTTTATGAATATCTCTGGCTTGGGTTATTTATTTTTAATCTAATTAATATAAAATATAAACTAATAGTACAAAAAGAAACATTAACCTTTACATTTTTCGAACAAATTAACTTCCGTGCTATGAAATCTGTATACCTCATTTTAAGTGATGCCGCCCCGGTGGCAAAAAATGGCCATCATTACCTAAAGATGAGTTAGGCATATTTTGCACTTTAAAGAAAAATTATAAGTTCTTACATTAAAGACTAACTACATTTAACTACACCGACGTGAGCCTATAACCTTATAAATATACCGAATATTGAATCCAATGTTTTCAAAAGATATCAAATATGGTTTGTTAAGAGAAACATGACGCCTAAATAAAAATCTACTAGAAAGACATTAAGGCCCAAATACTCAAACGCTACTTAATTTTAAGACGCCATTTAGTCTCGTGGTGTCACAGTCACTTTGGCTTAAAGTGATAGAGATAGTACGAGTCTTAACCAGGCATCTGTCACTCATGCTACCTGCGTGAAATAATTACCTACAATCACGAGCTGCCCCAGGGGTAGATCGCAGCCGGGGCTAGCGCGCTCTATACGATTGAATGTTAAAGTTTTTTTAACGCTGTTTACGTAAATAATTTTTTGTAAATACTTGTTGAAATACTCGTCGAAATAGTTTTTGTTTAGTGTTTAGTATATTTAATTGTAGGATAAAATAGTTGAAAAAGTTTTAATGTAATTTAAGAATAATATATATGTATATTACCTATCTATTTGATAAATTATAATGGCAAAATATCGTTCTTACTATAATTGTTGCGGGCATGGATGCTTAATGAGCAATTAAAAGAATTCAGATACATGTATATCATTTTTTGAGTTACCGAAGGATAATGAAAGGTAAATTTATTTTTAATACAGTTGCTCAAAAAGTGGCGTATTGCAGGGACGTATACCGTTCGGGATGTGGGCTATTACATACTCGTGCTTTTTCTTTACCTTTTCCGAACTCGTGCGTTCTCTTTCCTAACTGTCAAAATAATGTCTATTAAAAAGAAAAAACGAACCACAAAGTTTTTACTAAAAAAAATTCATAGAAGTTTTTATGATTAATGCAAATATTTCTAAAAAGAAGCTACTAATTTGTTTCAATATCAGATTTAATGATTTGATTCAATGAGTTAGGTTAGGTTTCATTTCATTTCATCTCATTAAATTTAATTTTCATTTCATATCCATAAAAAAGTTCTACTGAAGACTTGGCTGTATGGGCATAGTTCCCTTTGCCTACCCAGAATGGGTGAAGAAAACAAAAAAAATCTCTGCTTATATTCTTTTACGGTTGGCACCATTTTCCAAAAATGATCTTTATTAAATTGCTTCATTTTTCGCAACTGTATTAAAAATAGTTGTTCAGTACACGTGCGGAACCGTCATTGCAACTTGTTCCGACTGTCAACCTCCACCTTCGGCTGCGCCTCGGCTCGGGTAGACATTTGTCGGAACTCTTTGCAATGACAGGCTTTCTGCACTCGTAATGAAATATACTATTCATTTATTTGTTAGATAGATACTTAAAGCGAAAATCAATTAAGTAATAATTTAACTACAGAAGTAATACCTAAGTACTTTATTACAAAAGTTAGTTGAAATTTAATTCACTACCCAAATACCTACTTACATACCTATACTCGTCTTTGTAATTAAAATATTTTAAGTTATAATAGCACAAAATACTGAAATTAAAACTTTATTTACAAGATTTTGAACTAAGTAGATTACGATCATATTTCTGTTAGGAATCGTACTTCGGGTTTATTTGTTGTTTATGCTATCCAACTATACGAACCAAGCATCGCGATTCCCGACGAATGGCCTTGCAAGTTGCATATATTGGGCATCACAGAGCTCACATAGTAGATAATATGGTCGATTATAGTCAGCATAGGTACTTTACCTAAGTAACTTACTATTTCACAATGTATTTTTTTAATCTTTATTAACAGCCCTTAGCAACCACGGAAAGTCAGTTGTGACATAGTAAGGAGAAAAGATGCAAAGTAATACGGACAGTCGCGCGCAGCGATAACGTTTTATTTAGCTTGCGTGCGCGATTTATCTGATTAATAATAACTATTAAAGCGTCGGCAAGCAGTCAACATCAAAACAGTGCAACTTCTGTACGTAGTACTATTATTTATTCTGTGTCTTAACGACATCTTAAAATTGAGCAGTGTTTGAGTATTTGGACATAAGAAAATTAAATAAATACATAATATAAAATATTTCACTCACGTGCATTCGATTCCTAGAGCAAGCATGGCAAACCAGTCTGCCACAACGTCGGCAGTGATGACGACGAATAATCATTGAGAATATCGATATTTTGCACATCATGCATCTGTCTGTAGTGTAATCCTCCACCCACTGTTCTTTAGTCGGAACTTGCTCGGGCATCATGAAAGGTTTTGACGCTGTTTCTAAATTAATTGAATCAATTGACTGCAAAAGAGAATCGTCCCAAGGTTTAGGTGGTGAAGGACATACATTCCTTGGATTTTTCATATCTAAAGCTTTTTCGGCATAGTATCTTAACAAAGCATCTACAGCGTTTCGTGATATCACCAACGTTTCTATCGACTTAATGTTGTAATAAAGGTTATCGCCACTAGGATCTTTCTTAAGACTCGGAGCAATTTTGTTTATAATGTCCGTCAAACTTTCTAGTCTTCCATTCATTAAAAATTGTTCGATCATCAATAAGGGTTTCTCTATTAGCTCCCAAAAGAGATGTCTCATGTTTACGGTTATTTCAAGCATTATCTGTAGGCCGATTTTAATGTTTTCGAATGATTTCCAATCAAAGGAATGTTCAGAGATGAAGTCAATGCACACTTGAAGTATTTCTACATTTCGAACTTTGGACATTTCTTCTTGAATAAGGTCCATTGCCTGAGTGGCAGAGAGTCTCATTAGAAGTTCTCGGACAACGTCAGGGGTGGCTTGGTTCGTGTATTCAAACAATTGGCGAAGTAGGTTCACAACAATCAAATTCTTCATATGCTCGGACACGTTGTGAGCGTCTGCCCATTCTAAGCACAGTTTGAACTGGAATAATTTAACATTACAATATATTTAAACAAATATTCATATAATAGAAAAACGAACCCTTAAACCAAACGTCTAAAGTAAGATATATTAATTCTAATTAACATACTGGATGTTACCTGTTGACTGTCCATAAGAACATCAATTATCGTTTCCGGATTTTCTATTGATTTTTCGTAGGCTTTGTACCAATGGCCAACACCCATAATAGTTGCTATCTGAAACACAATTGTACATATTTACGTAAGTTATTACCTATCACTCAACAATTAGTGTAAAAGCCAATTTTACCTGCTCATAAAGAGGTATTTTAAACATCCAATCAGTGCATTTCTCGTACAGTCCTTCTTCCAAAGCAATTGGATCTAAAATGAATCTTAGATAGTCTAATACCTCTATAGCTCCTTCCGCAGGCCAACAAGACAAGTTGTTCAAAATTAGATCTACTTTTAATTCGGGACATTTTAGATGCTGGCAATATTTCCAATTATTACTTATCTTTGGGTTAGTGGCAAGTTTGAATAATATCAAGTCTCTCAAATTCAGTAGATTTGCACTGCACATCAGTTGCCTTTCTGATAATGCGTCTATAATCTTCAAACATTGCAGTATCTTCCCAGACTCCAACAATCTTGGCATGTATAAAAAGAGTTTGTCCAAGTCAACAGTCGTATGAAGTGATGCCAAATATTTATTACCATCGAATAACACTTTTGTGCATTCAAATCTTTCGAGGTCCATATATTTGTTCAAACACTTTGTACGTGCATCCACATTTTGTTGAACGTTACTGTCGTTAAGAGTCGTATGAATTTTTTTAATAATATGGGCTAGTACCCAATTATGTAAAACGATGTACGTAAGACATTGGGGATCAGGCGACCTAGGCAGTGGCGCAAAATTAGTAACAAGTTCTAGAAATAAATTCTCTTCAGGATTTTTAAAGTCGTACACAACTTGTAACAGATTGTTGAAATTCTCTTCATTAGCCTCTTTATGAGGTCCGACTAACGTAATCGAGGGACAAAAGTTCAATATAAGCTTAGGTATTAAATTCACATTTAACTTTTTACAAATCGGTTCCAAATACGTTACAGGAATATCTTTGTTGTTGATCATGTTCCCGAATATATCATGAAGATGTCTTTCTAATATGAAAAAATAGGGTGCGTCTGCAACAGAGTCATTTGAACGATTATCTTCTTGCTCCAACTGCGATACTGACTTCGCATACATATAACACATTCTTAAATAATGAACTCTGGTTTTCTTATTCCCATTGTGTGATACTTCAGCAATATTGCAAATATCTTTGTCAGATGCAGCGACTACGTTCATATAAATCTGATGATATTTCTGGAGTAAATTTTCATCACATGCCGAGGATCGATTTGGATTAATAATATCTTCGAGATCCTGACAGGACTGCCTCAATTCCTTTGAGAGTTGATTTAGTTTACAAAATTCTTTATGCTTTATGGGTATTCGACAATCGGTTATAAGACCGCATATGTTGTCCACAAAATCGAATGATTTTTCGGTATTGCCAAATATTTCGAATGTGACACTGGCGATGTCCTCCACGAAGCGTATGTAGTTAGTTTTCTTTACCGCAGCCACGTCAGTACTACACCGTACTTCTGCGAGCTTCCTTTCTACCACATTAATGAGACCGTAGGTGATCTCTCTGTTCAAACCACTGCTCAACAAAATATCAACGGCATTGATAAAAGGCGCGTTTTGATGATTGTACAGTTGTAGGTGTGGATGACGTGTAGCTAGTTCTATTATATCAAAAGAATTTGGCGCTCTGTTTGACGCAAGAAATCCTTCTACGAGACCCATGACCTCCGTTGACACGACGGACAGAGCTGATAACTCTTTGGATGGATAGCGTATGTTATCCCGGTAGCAGATAATATTTTTTATTTTCGCTACCAGATGCCGCAGTTGCTCGGTGAATTGAACTTCTGTTGCTATTTCGGAGTCAGCTAAATCGAACATCTGGAAGAAATTTGTGTTATTTAACTATAATGTCAATTATAATTGTATGGCATGCTATTTTATACCTAATAAGTTTAAACACAATAGGAAAGTGGAAGATTCAAAAGATTATGCTATAACAATTTAACGTAGTGCCAATCACAATCGATCACGTTTCTTCTTTAATAGTAGACTTATTTATAAAATTTGAAATAGTTTTAGTCATAGAAATATTAAATAGAGGAGAAGTGGCAAGGGGGCGTGTCTGTGTCCGCACGCTATGATCAAAATGCTCAGGTTCTATTCAAACGGCCGTCTCTGCTGTATTAGTATACTTTCAAGCTTTCAACCGTAATCGTGAAACAATATCAGAATGCCGTGTTATTCAGTGGTTTCTTGTAAAAACCGAAGCCAAAACAAAATCTTTGTAGATCATAGAATCTCTTACCATATGTAAGAACAAGTATTTTACTATCTTTATCTTTAAACATTCACATAAACACTCACGCCTGTCACCCAGAGGGGTAGGCAGAGACTACGGATTTCCATTTGGCGCGATCCTGACACACCTCTCTCGCCTCTTTTACATCCATATATCTACGCATACACGCTCATCGGTTAAGGGTACTCCTAATCTGGCCCATTTTTAATGTATCGCCGATTTGGTCGATAAACCTTCGTCTAGGGCGTCCCTTCCCGACCCTGCCGTGGATGGGGGATGAGTCGCTCGCGTCCGTAGGCTTCGGCCACCTAATCCTAGGCCCACCCTACACGTGTCCCCCGGGTGGTGCTAAACGAGCGACAAAGCCGAAACGACAGACTCGGCTTCTCGCCGTATGGTAGCGGCGTAAAGTCTACCACCCCTTAGACGCCCATTACACGCCTAGGCAAGCGTCAATCAGTTCGATTAATCATGACTGAGGTTTGAATGATGGAATAATTTGGACATTACACGCTCATGCTGACTGATCGTCAGTCAAACCCAAATTTTCGGAGTGAAAGGACGTACCTATAACCTAAGTTCATTTTCGATTCACCATTTAATTATAATTTTATATCTTGAAAAGAGAAAGAAAAAAAACGAATAGGAAAAATTGTAATATTTAATATCATTTTACCCATTTTAATTTAACGCGCGCAAATGTTAGACCTCTTGGAGTGCATAATCGATACGCGGTTTTATTTAAAACATTTATGGACGAAAAATAAGCTTAACTTGTACATTTATTCGTATAGGGTGGATGCCCCTATTACCAGCCTTTTAGTGCCAATTTCAATTTCCTTTTGTGTATCTAATGCCAGCATAGCATAGGGCTATGCCTTTTGAGTTTTTGGTAGGTACCTATTGTAGGTAAATTTTAGGGGCACTGAAATAAATTCACAACAACTTTTAATTTTAAATCATGCATGTCACAAGTATGGAATATGTATTAAGATAGACGACAACAATTATTTTATTTTAATGTTTTACTTCTTACCTTACTGTGGTTTAGCTTTAAGCAGTTACATTTTATCTTTTAACACTAAAGAATTAATTAAAATAATATTATAATAAAAATTATGTATTATAGTACACCGATTTCTTATAATTTAATCATCCAAGTTTTACAATCTTTATCATCATTGCAGCCCTTCACAAGTCGACTACAGAACATCATCCTCCATAGACTGCCGCAAAGCATGGTCCTGAACCACTTTCCTTGTTATGACTTTTTCATTTATGTTCTTAAGTTATAATAAAATTAGTATTACTAAGTTGTAGTTAATTACATTTATTGTTTGTTTTTGTCTTTCCCAAAAAATAATTAAATATTGTATGGTGTTCTTAACATATACCAAATGTCTGAAAAGCAAGTACGTATCATTTGTTAAACTTTTAAATCAAACACCAATTTTAAAATATAGACGAATTGACCATAACTTACTTAACTATAAAATAAGTTATGTTTTTTTTATATAGGATAGGGTGACAAACGAGCACACAGTCCACCTGATGGTAAGTGGCTACTATGACCCATAAACATCTACATCTATCCTCAATATAGACTCAAGATGCAGATGCGTTGTCACCCGTGAGGACTAAGATGGAATGCCTCTTTGCCAGTAAAAAGGGTCTCCGGTTCTCTACACTCACCATACGAAACACAGCAGCGTTAAGCTGCTATTCTACGTTGGTTTTCTGTGTGAGTTCAAATTAATGGTATTTATGCTAGTTTATGACAGCCCTGATTTATATTACGTGGTT